GGAAATGCCAAAAAACTCATTCCCTCGCTGTTCCCTCGCTGATCTGTGAGGGAAAATTTCCCTCGCTGATCCCTCGCTGATCCCTCACTAATTTGCGACACAGATTTGGTTTGTTATATATTATTATTTTCAGGTTTTTTAAAAATAAATACAAGATTTATGTCTTTTTAAATATTTTATTTTTTAATTTTTTACAATCTTGTTTGTATTAGTTAATATATTATATTATTAGATATTTATTTGAATTATATCTTGAAATATTATAATTGATTAATTTTTCAAAATGCTATTTTTGGTAATTTTACATTCTTATCAACTAATTTTTATCAAACATGATTTGTTAATCAACTAGCTTAACAGTTACAAAACTTATCAGTTGACAGTTAGTTTGTCAAACATCGCCTTAATGAAAAGAGTTAGTAGCTAATAGTGGATTTTCAAGTTAGCACAGAATATTAAGTTCTCTCATGATTAGCCCATATATAATTGTGTGTGTGCACCTTCTTTTGTTAACCGTCTAAGATTATCCACAATGGAGGTTCCTGATGAGGTTTTTCTTGGGGTTTTAACAAGATTTCCACTGTAGGACATAGATTATTGTCCAGTCACATGTTCGTATTAGAACCCATGTGTTTGAACAAGAACTCAGATTCTTACCTACATTCCTTTATTGTAATTATTTTATTTATTATTTCTTAAAAAAAATCTATAAAACATATAAGTTAAAAATGATACAAAAAATATAAACTAATTATTATAAAATAATATTTTTATTTTGTTTTATTTTTCATTTCTTGTAAACTTTTGTAATTTTGCACTCTTTTCAATCGTAGTATAAAATTTGTTTATGTTTTTATTTTTTYAAATATGTTAACAAAATATATAAACTAACAAATTAAAATTAGTATAGAAAAATGAAAATTAATAAATTATATTTGAATTTTTTATTATAAATTTGTATAATAATCTCTAAGTAAAATTATATTTTATAACTTGAAAAATGAAAAGTGGGGTTTCTTAAGAACCTCCATTTTAAAGTTTTATTAAGGTTCTTACTTTGTTGAGGTGTCAATGATGTGACAAAAAAAATATGGCAATGGGTTCTTGAGGTTCCACCACTGTGAATGCTCTAGTTAGTACAAATTTTGTTAATCGAGGTATTTTCGTCATTTTCATATATTGAGATCACATTATTTAATTATCTCATTTACTTAATTATCACATTACTTTGTTTAAACTTTCTTGATTATCTTATTCACTTTCTAGTTAACCTTGGTAATATTTTTGGAACAACCAATGTTCAGACACGAAACAACATTATGAACTTTAAACAAAGATCATTATTTCACCTATGAATTTTAAACAAAATCATTGTTTCACCTATGAACTCTTTGGTTTCATATGTGAACCTCGGTAAAAATATAGGAACAATGGAAGTTTAAAGATGAAACAACATCATGAACTTTAAACAAACATCATATAAACACATGATAATCTTCTGAAAAATAAAAACAATTTGTTCATAATTTCCCTCCATTTAATTCAATTTAATTTCTTTACTTTTTGATCATTTTATAACCTCCCATTTCATAATTGTTGATAAAAAATGAACGACTGAGATGAGTTTGTAAAATGAAGAGTATATTTTACTTGGTTAACAAATGATTGTTCCTATATATATAGCCAGAGGTTCACTTGAGAAGTGTAAGATATGCATCTTCGACTATGAAGCACTAGATAATTTCTCGCATGGTATACGGAGGATAGAGGGTAGTTTCGTAACTTTTTGTTGATCATCTCATTCAATGATTTGATGATGATCCTTTTAACCTTACGAAGTATATAACCTCTGTATTCAGCTTCAGCGGTCATCATTAATTCTGCACAGTGATCGCTGAACATGTATTATAATTTCTTCAGATACAAGTATCCTTCAGGAAAACAAAACTCACACCATAGATCCTTCATCAGTATCGAAGATAGAAGCTGAAGATAGTAGCAAGTTTGTGATCTAAAGCAGTTTTCAGTGGTAACAAGCTCGTCTACACAAGTGTGAAATCTATGCAAGATTCAGCGAACACTAATGAGACCTCCTGCGTCATTCCAGTGTCAGCGATCAAATGAATCTTGTTGAACAAGATCAGTTTTTGTCTTGTCCTTCTGCATACAAAGTTCAAACCCATACCTTTCAAAGTAAAGTACTATACGAAGTCACTCTATTGTCTCCAAGCGTGCTTATCTACTTTATGAAAGAAGACTGTTCATATACGGCCAAAAGACTGTATATCTACAATAAAGAAAGATGTCTTCTCTAACTCTACTGGACCCATTGAGAAATGGGTACCAAAGCAATCTTAATCTCTTTAGAAGTCAAAAGCATCTGGTATCTTGATAGTGGATGTTCAAGACACGTGACCGGAGACAAACTCCTACTATCAGACTACAAACACAAAAGAGGCCCTTCCATGACTTTTGGAGGAAACAGAAAAGGACATACCAAGGGCTTTGGTATATTAACTAACGGTGTAACCACCTTCATACGTGTTGCATATGTTGAAGGACTGAAGCATAATCTTCTCAGCATCAGTCAACTATGTGATAAAAATTTCACAGTGAAATTTCTGAAGAACTCATGTTATGTCTAGTCTACGACAAAGATGACAATCTTGCTTTTACATGTTCTCGTCTAGAGAACGTGTACGTCATCAACATTGATTCTTCCATCACTGAGAATAGTTGTTTTCTTTCTAAAGCCTCATTATATATCAACTGGTTATGGCACAAACGACTTTCTCATCTCAACTTCAAGACGTTGAACAAGCTGTCTCGAAAAGATCTTGTCACTGGCCTTCCTTAACACTCTTTTGCAAAGAGATATTTTTGTTCAGCGTGTGAAAAAAAAAAGCAGACAAAGGCTAGCTTTAAGTCAAAGAAAGTCTCTTCAGTGACTTCTCCGCTTCAACTATTGCGCATAGATTTATTTGGTCATGTCAACGTGCAATCCATAGCTGCAAATAAATATACACTCGTTATCATTGACAAGTTTTCCAGGTACACTTGAGTTTTTTTTCTCAGATCTAAGAGTGATGCACCTGAAGAAATTATCTCGTTCGTCAAGCGCATAGAAGTACTAAACAAAATCACAATATGATCTATCAGAAGTGATCATGACACTGAATTAAAAAAACAGTACCATTGATGAATTCCTTATATATAAGGGAATCTCACGCAACTTTTCAGACGTGAGAACTCCACAACAAAACAGGGTCGCTGGAAGGAGAAATCAAACGATTATTGAAGCCACTCAATCAATGCTCAGCGAATCTCGTCTCCCTACTCAATTCTAGGTAGAAGCTGTCAACACTGATTATTTTACTCAAAGCCAGTCGCTGATCGTTAAGATATTCAAGAAGACAACTTATGAACTCTTCCATAGGAGAAAACATTCTCTCAGCTTTCTTCATATCTTTGGTTGTACATGCTATATCTTAAACAACAGAGATCAACTTGGAAAGTTTGATCCCAAAGTTGAGGAAGGAATATTTCTTGGATAATTTTTCTATGCCCAAAGCCTTCAGAGTATTCAACAAAAGACGACAAATGATAGAAGAATCTATTCATGTCACATTTGATGAATCTCAGTCAGCTAAATCTAAACCCATCTCTGAAGATGATGAAGAGTTAAACAATTGGATGATATCTCACTATGGAGAACTTGAAGCTTCCTTTAGCAATGAACCGAACGCTAACGTCTCTTAAGCTGGAGATGATCTATTCTCATTAGCTACTTATCCTCTTCTACTTCAAATACTGACCCTTCATTCGTTGAATCTTCTTCAGTCACTGAACCTCTATCAGTAAATGAATCACTCACTGAGGCTCCTTTGGCAATTCAAACTGTTGCTGAAGACTCTCTTGCTGAAACCTCATCCTCTATACCTGAGCCTCCAGTCTCAGAAGGTGATAATATATATCATCTACCAGCTCAACGATGGATGAAAGACCATCACATCCATCAAATTCTTCTTGATCCAAGTGTAGGTATTCAGACTCGTCTATTTGTCTCTTTGTTAACTTTCTTTCTCTAGTTGAGCCCAAGAAAATCAATGAGACTATCACTGATCCAAGCTGGGTCACTGCTAGGGGTGCTCAAAAACCCGATGAACCCGATGAACCCGATCAACCCAACCCGAATTTAAAAAAAAATCCCCAACCCGAGGTAACCCGATGCATGATCGATAAAAAAATTAGCCAACCCGACCTTATTGGGTTGCAATCGGGTCAGGCCCAAAAAAACCCGACCAACCCGACAACCCGATGAACCCGACCTTAACTTTAGCTTTGAATTGTAGATGACAATCATGACATGACCAACCTCAACGTCAAGAAAGCGAAAGCATCGGGGTTGGAAACGTCTAAAACTATTGTTGTTGATTGTTGTATTATCATTTGGTTTAAACATTTTTATTGTAATATCTAAATATTTGATGAACTTGCATATTATCTTGAATGGTCGGTCGTATTTCAAAAGAAAGTTTTCTTTATTTTTATGTGATTTTACATTGTTTAAACACAACCCGATCAACCCGAACAACCCGAACGGGTTGGGTTGGGTTGAACTTTTGTTTGGGTTGGGTTGGGTTGAAAATTTTCAAAC